TTGAGCTCTGCATTCCTGACTACTGTGCCACATGAGCCAGACTTGGTTGGGAAAGGCTGCTTTGCGAACCCCGGGCACATGGACAGCACTGGCCCGGCCTCTGTCATTCCATAACCCTGGAAAAGTAATCAAATTTGAACCATTAAATGGTATTCTACAACATTTTTTTGAAAAGCATTTTTGTTTCCACTTAGAAAATCAAAAACCTTGTTTTTTGAAAGAAAAAACAAAACATGCTTTGGTTCTTATGAGATGAGAAGGAGAACAGAGCACTCCCTTAACCATGATTTTTGAACCATTGTTGATCCAGATGGTCAGATTGTTCAGCCCAAAAAATGTCTAAATAACTGGTTCCATTTTACCCTGAACCGTTTCTTTACTAAAACATTGCCCTTAACTTTCCCACCCACCTACCAAGGGATTCCTATTAGGGGTGCTCACGGTTTGGCTAACCAAACCATGGAGCATTTTTTAGAACTAAACTGGTACTACCGGTTTTAGAAAACCGATAATCGGAATCAAATTGAGACCAGTCGGTCAACTGGTTGGCCGGTTTGGTTTATTGGTTTTTCAGTTTTTTACTTTTACAATATATATTATAAAATATTGTAAATATATAAAATATTATATTTTAAATAATAAATAATATATAATATATTATAAATATATATTTATATATAATACATATTTATTAATCAATAATGTATAAAAAATAAAATATATAATATATATATAAATATATTTAAAAAATATAGAAATATATGTATACCAGTCAATTTGAACTGAACCGATACCTTTAAGAACAGGTTCGATTTGGTCAATTTTTCGGTCAATTGGTTTTTCCATTTTTTTTTTTTTATCTCACCCCTAGTTCCTATCCTATCTATGTAATTGAGCTGGGCTTTGGTGTTAGGTGGGTATGGGGTCAAACTAAAAATTTAAGTGTTATTAGGGTTGATAATAATCAATAATTGATATGATTCTAAAGACTGAAGCAGTTACATTGTTATCTTTTTTCCCCAATAACACCTCCCCATTGACAGCTTTTTCCCAAGTGCTCTTTCTAACAAAACTCATTTGTAAATCTAGCCAGCCACCTAAAGCCTTGTTCAGGAATCAACCCGGATCATTGAATTGACCGTAGCTAAATCAATGGTTGCTACAGAATTAGTTTAAGGGTTCGACTATTCCCTTTCAGATGATTTACCATCTCATTTTGGGTATTATTTGTATCTCTTATTTTTATGATATATTTTCCCCTTTGATTCGTACTTCGAATCCAAATCAGAATCAAAAGGTTCATGTGATTTTTAGGGGTCCATTTGATTCCTACTTGCAATCAGAATCAAAATTTGTCAAAATAGGAATCGCAATGGCTGGGCTTAGCACTTGTTGGATAAGGGCTATAGCTCAAGTCTGGGCAGGCACCTGGATTGAAGGGGAGTTATGGATTGGGGGATGGGCTACCCCCGTTGTGTAGCCCTTAACAATATATCAAAAAGAAAATTTCAACCTATGAGACCGTTGGATTGGGACATTTGACATCCAATGTTGATGGGATATCTTGAGGATTTCAAAGAACAGCTTTTTTTATACCCTAGAATAAAAACATAAAATGAAGAGTTCGAATATGGTACCCATAAGACTTCATAATATATTATTAATTTAAGGGAAAGTTTTCAATTAGTACTTTGTAGTTTGGGCCTAGAGTCATTTTGGTTGCTGAATTTTAAAATGTGATAATTCAATACCCGAACTTCTAAAATGTGTCAATCCAATACCTGTCATTAACCAGCCGTTAAGTGGCATGTAAAAAGACACAAATGCCCTTTGGGTGTTATCTAATTTTTTTTATCAACCATCCAAATGCCCTTCTCAAAACTATTGTTCATTATCTTCTTCCTCAATAGTTCTATCTCTAGTGTTGCTTTCCCCAACAAGCAACCCATGAGGGTGTACAACAGCCTATGGAATGTAGACAATTGGGCAATGAGAGGTGGGCTTGTGAAAACTGATTGGTCGCAAGCACCCTTCATCTCTCTCTCTCTCTCTCTCTCTCTCTCTCTCTCAAGCTCTTTCTTCTAGATTTGATTTGGGTCATGAAGCAGTGGTTCAGTCTCAAATGTAGAAGACAGTGAAGAGTGTTTTTAAGGGTAGTTTTGATATTTTAAAAAATTTAAGTCGCACATGTCATCATGTGATATAAGGGGCTGTTTGGCATCGTTGTTGTTTCCTGGAGCAATGGTGTCACATTAGCACCACATCGGAAAAAACGGTGCTCCAGTAAATGAGTATTTGTTTGGAACTATTTTTTCATAAAAAGCGGTGCTCCAAGCTATGCCTTGAAAATCGGGAAGCCATGGCTTGGAGCAATGCCAAATTTGGCGTTTTGTGGAGCTGCAGCTCATGGCTGCCAACAAGGCAATGATGTAGCACTGGATAATGGGTACAAGTGCTGAAAACGTTTGTTGGAGCAATGGTACCAAACAAAAAAAAATTGTTATTGCTCGAGGAAATATCCTACCTGACAACAATGATTTCAAACAAAAATAAAGGCACTGTTATGGTGCTCCAAGCCACACATCAGTACAACTACAACTGAAGTATCAATGCCAAACATATACTAAGTAACTAATATACTATTATTCTTGACACGTTTTGAAAGTTGGATTATTGATTTATTGCTTTTTTAAAGTTAAAGGACCAAAGTAACACTAGTTCCAAAATAAAGGGAATTTTCCCAATAATTATTTGTAGTTTACCACGAGTTTTTAATTGTTCAAGGCACTTCCCGTTTCATGCGAGCATAGTTTTTGGGAGAATGGCTGTTCAGTCCAATTCAGAATTCTTAGCATCACTGGGCTGTAATTTCATAATTCTGCCGTGTGCTGTGAGTTGGGTATTTATTATTAATATGGAGTCAGGAGTCAGGACATGCAGGCATAGTTGCAGCTTGCAGGCCGAGGGAAGGGCGGAAGGCCGATAACTTGCCACGTTTGCATTCTCACGTCAGTTATCAGCAATGGTTAACTGAAGTGGCTGAATTAAATGGCGTATTGTATTGTCTCTGCTGATAAGTTATTACTTTTGAGCTCCTCAAGAGTCAAAAGTCGTAACTTATATTGAACTTGGGTTTATTAGAATTTTTATATTATTTTATATATTAAAAACAAAATAATAAGTCATTCAGTTCAGCCAATTCAGCCGTTATCAAACGTTTTATTTCTACAGTTCCATCTTATTAGTTGATGTATGCCGAGGGACCCAGTTGATCGTGGGTCCCATTTCTGTATGGACACGACATACGAGGCTAATAAGGGATTTAGACTGTTTGATGGGTCCTAGACCCGAGACCCGATCCAAAGCTTCTGCATGGTAAACTAAAATAGTAAATAAACAAAATCGTTCTTTTTTATTGAAGAGAGTAAATTTTCTTACCTGGCCGAAGACAGCTTGGGGGACTTTGCTATGAAGAGCTTCCTCCAGTTCCTTGCCCAGTGGAGCGGCACCCGACAATATGATCCGAATCGAGCTGAGGTCGAAGTTCTCGACCATCTGATTCTTCGCTAATGCCAGAACCAACGGCGGAACGACCGCGGCAACTGAAACCCGGTACCTCTGGATCAAATCCAGCAGTGCTCCGATCTCAAATTTTTGCATCAGCAGAACTCCAGTCCCGGCTCTCAGAGAACAGAGCAGAACAGAGTTCAGTGAGAAAATATGAAACAGAGGAAGAACACAGAGAAAAACATCTTCTGTCTTCAAATGCAAGTTAGGATTCTCTCCATCAACTTGCTGAGCCACGCTTGAGATCAAGCTCTTATGGGTCAAGATAACGCCTTTCGGCAAGCCGGTCGTCCCTGAAGAAAACGGAAGAGCAACTGGGTCATCCGGATCAATTGATACTGATGGCAGCTCTCTTTCGTCGGACTCGGAGAGAACAGAAAAATGGATGCAATTCTCCGGTGGGTCATCCACGGTGACCACTGTGAGGCCTTCTCCAATTTTCGGGAAATTCTCGGAATCTCTCAGCTTGTCGACGTATTGGGATTGAGTAATGATGAGCTTGGCACCGGAGGTGGAGAACTGCTTGAAAATCTCTGCTGGTGTGTAGAAAGGATTTGCAGTTGTGGTTATGGCGCCAAGCATCGAAGCACCCATGAAGGAGAAGACAAATTCAGGCGAGTTCTGAAGGAGAACCATGATCACGTCGCCTTTCTTGATGCCAAGATTCGATAGGCCAACAGCCGTTTTCTGACAGATGAGATGGGTTTCTGCAAACGTATATATTCTGCCATTCGAACCGGTGATCAAACATGGTCGGTCTGGGAATTCCGAGAGCTTCTCGAAACAGTATCTGTGGAGCGGTAGGTGGTTAGAGATGGGAATGTCTGGGAGTTTAGACCGAAATATGAACGTTTCTGGTGCTGGGTTCTCCGTAGGGGGGATCTGGGGAGTGATTTGTGGTGGCTCGGGAGTGACTTGTGGTGCTTCAGGAGTGATTTGTGGTGGTTGGGTTTCAGGAGTAGCAACAGAAATCATCTTCGCTGTTCTGTCTGTTCTTATTCTTTCAGAGAAAAGTGAAAACAGAGGTGTGAGAACTGAAGTTCAAATTGAAACTGGAATAAGTCGAGAACCCAGAATTCCAGAGATTAAACTTCAAATGCGACGAAAAGACCGGAAAATCAATTGAATCAGGAACTGTAGAAATGGAAGCCCAATAACACAAAAAGAATACTTGAAACTACTGAGGATGAAAGGAGAACTTTATCTGTAGGAAGCTGAGAATAAGTTTTATCCTGCTTATTGGGTTTCAGGGTTTCAGGGATTAGTGTGGAGGATGGATTGAAAAATTGAAGCCTTCAAATGGAGGAAACAGAGGCGAAGAATTAGAGTGAAAAAGAAGGGCTGGAAAAAGAGGAGAGAGGGGCGGTTGTCATAAATACAAGGAAGAAGAGAGAGTTAGGTGGAGAGTTTGGGGCCGGTCAGGAGGGTAGCTTTAGAACATGAGGCGTTGGAAGCAGCACGCTCATCTCACCTTCAAGAGAACCTGGCGGAACACTCTCTTAAGTCCTACCTACCTAACCTCCACCCTCCCTCCCTCTCTCTCTCTCTCTCTCTCTCTCTCGTTTTGTGTTTCTTAAATGGTTAAATTTGCCGCTTTGTAACGTGCATGGGCTTCTATTGTTTTCACACGTATGCCACTTTTCTTTCCATAAAATGACAATGGTATCCTTTCTTATTTCAATTTAAGGCCTGGTTCATAGGAATAGGGGTATGGAATGAAATTGAAATGATTCATTCTCATTCTAATTGTTTGACTGGGCAGAATCAGAATTCATTCCCTCATCCTTCCTTGAGAATGAGATTTCATTTTAGCTGATTTCTAATTCCCGTTTAAACTAAATAGGCTCCGGGAATAAATCATTCTGCTTTTGCTTCCAAAACATTTTGATTTTAATTCCAAACACAAACCAAATGAACCCTTAGACTTGTGGATGGAGGCATGAGTATGAATAACTACATTGAGAGTAGATTCCTTCCGGTCTGATAACTACCAAGAAAAATTAACCTTTTTTTTAATCCTCAGCGGACTGAATAGTGGATGAATATGAACATAAAATAATGAACCTACCTTACGAAAAAGAAAAAAAATATCCAAATTAAAGCAATGAATTGTATTGTCTATATAATATCTTCCAAGTGCTCTAATAATTCACCGTCTAATCTGGATATGCTAATACCCAATATGAATACTATTGATTAAATGTGTTAAGAATGGACCGGTTGGTGAACCAAAGCACAAGAGACCATAGCCGTAAATCAAAATCATCACCCCCGGTAAGGTGCCAATCGGTTGGTTGGTAAGGTTTCCTGGTTGTTGTAATAGGGGGGGTGGGT